ACAAATTTGGATTTGACGCGAAGAACTTCAATGATATTTCGCCATCTGGCCATGACTTATGCATGTAGCCAACGGGCAGGAAGGAAGGCAGGGGCGGGGAGGAGCAGCATGGCGAAATATTCCTCTCCCCTGAATCAAAAAGCTTATTCTAGAAATTGAGTGATTTCGCAGGAGTTGGGCACTCAGTCGTAGGAGTCCGGACAAAATTTGATATTTGTCTACCCCTACCCCTATGCCTCCACTCCTCAGGATAACTATAATACACCCCTGCCGTGAATTTTTATTTAAAATACAGCTGCCGCAGGAAAGTCTATGCTGTAAGGATTATCACCCCATCATTATTCAGTGTGCGGGACGAGGGCCTTGTTTAGTTATTTGGATTTCAGGATGAAATAATCCATAACCAGTTCTAGTTGATACCGCCGATCTCGGGCGGGCGGTCAGAGCTGCTGAACGACGCGGCATTAGGTGGTGCCGGCGAGCCAGAGTCAGGAGCTGGCCGGGAGGCCAGAGCTGCTGATCGCCGCGGCATTAGGTGGCGTCGGCGCGCCAGAGTCAGGAGCTGTCCGGGCGGCTAGAGCTGCTGATCGACGCCCCATTAGGTGGCGCCGGTGTGCCAGAGCCAGGAGCTGGCCGCGGGGCCAGAGCTGCTGATCGACGCCGCATTAGGTGGCGCCGGTGTGCCGGAGCCAGGAGCTGGCCGGGAGGCCAGAGCTGCTGATCGCCGCGGCATTAGGTGGCGTCGGCGCGCCAGAGTCAGGAGCTGTCCGGGCGGCTAGAGCTGCTGATCGACGCGGCATTAGGTGGTGCCGGCGCGCCAGAGCTGCTGATCAGCGCCGCATTAGGTGGTGCCGGCGCGCCAGAGCTGCTGATCGACGCCGCATTAGGTGGTGCCGGCGCGCCAGAGCTGCTGATCGACGCCGCATTAGGTGGTGCCGGCGCGCCAGAGCTGCTGATCAGCGCCGCATTAAGTGGTGCCGGCGCGCCAGAGCTGCTGATCGCCGCGGCATTAGGTGGTGCCAGCGCGCCAGAGCTGCTGATCGACGCCGCATTAGGTGGTGCCGGCGCGCCAGAGCTGCTGATCGACGCCGCATTAGGTGGTGCCGGCGCGCCAGAGCTGCTGATCGCCGCGGCATTATGTGGTGCCGGCGCGCCAGAGCTGCTGATCGACGCCGCATTAGGTGGTGCCGGCGCGCCAGACTGCCGCCGACTGGATCGTCGGGGTGGCGCCACGGCTTCGAAATCCGGCCCCAATCGGGCCGGCTGATGAGGTGTGGGGAGGGCGGTGGGAGGGGAGGGGAGTTCCCGCGCCGCGGTCGGCGGGGTCGGCGGCAGACACGTCTGGTCTGAGCGGCCGCGGACGCCACCGTGGCGGGGGCAGGGGAACGGCTTCAAAGGCGGAGTGGAGAAGCTTGTGGGGAAAAATTTTGAGGCCGACGACAAGAGAGAGAACTTGGCAGGCATACCGCTAAAATACGCAGATGGATTCGGGTGGCTGGTGCCAAGTGAGGAAAGGGAACACTGCTAATCCTTAATCAGCGATGCCGGTAGCATATTGATTAAGCTGCGCGTCTGGGACACCAAGGGCACAGGGTTCGATCACTTGCGCAATATGTCATTTTACTAAATCTTTGAATGTTAACGTTCCCCGTGATCAGAGATTTCGGATACATGAATTCCAAACGAAACTTGAACAAAGTACAGATGTGGGAGGGCTGTGAGGAATGGTGGTCGGTCAGACACCACTGCTTAGGTGTAGGCCCACCGCGATTTTCCAGGGTCTCATGAACTGCATAGCCTGGAGTGAGTGTCAACGTGGACGAGAACTGAGGACATGGGGACATATGAGGACATCAGCAGAAGCAAGACGCATGTTTCGGAGTTCCGTGACTAGAGACTGTACGGCATTCAGTACCGTGACGAGAACGGATGAGGCGCGCCACTTCATCAGCAGGCCCGACGCCTAGCAGCGCCTCCCCTAGTGCGGGGCTATAGATGGTGCGTGCATACCAGCCGTAATCCCCCCTGGTCACATGGGAGGAGGAGTGTGCGTGCGGTAGCCGTCCGGTCTGCCCACGGCTGCCGCCCGCCCTTGCAGGTAAAAACATTAGTTGTCATACACGTGTTATTTGGCTCAGAGCCGGTAGCATATCATTGTGGCCACCGGGAGTCTTCCCGTGCAGTGTTTGTTTCTTACTGTTCGGTCAGTTTATGTGCGGACTGCATTGAGAAAAAAAGAAACGAACAACTACATTTGTGTTATTGACCCACTTTATTCATAGAGCGTTTTCGGAGCGAATGTTTTCATAATATGGTCACTTTGTTTCACCACACTCCCAGAGTAGCATATGAAAGCTTTCAGAGCAACGTAGCCTGCGGAGTACAGATCAAGAACGCAGGGGACGCTTGAATTGTCCTGTCTTCTTTGAGCTAGATGCCTAGCCTGCGGAAGAAAATATCCGCCCGATAGTGGCATGCAGTGACATTTGCTGCGCAGAAATCCCGGTCAAAAGTGCACGTTTTTGGATGAGGTGAGCGCGCAGTTGGTACTGACTGCTAGTATAGCCCTCGCGCTTCGGGAGAATCCTTTTTTGCCTTGAGGAGGTGGCCTGAGTGCCACCCCCTACTCCCCCTTTAATATAGAAAACCAAGAAAGTCACGTTACAGGAAAGCGGCGTGAGTAATGTCTCGCCGCATGTATCATATTACTTTAACGGAATGATTTTCAATGTTACTGTTGGGAGTTAAGACACGTTATTAGGGTTAGATTATAACTTTATAAAACCTCATTGTTTTCAACAACTTTGGATACCACGACAATGTGGGAGACGGCGCTAAATAGCTTTCAGGACAACTGGTTTAGACAGACACTAGAGGACATTGCCGCCTGTGACCTGCTCCATGTCATGTTGGGTCAATGAGGTAAAGCCCATCGTTGCATTGGTCAGACCGGCCTTATAAAAAACTGCACAAGTTCACATCGTGGGTGACGTTAAAAAGGGCCATCTAAAGCTCTAAGGTGCTTCCATTACGCGTTTATTCGTTGCAACCAAATGTAGGTGCTCATGCCGCCGGGACGAGAGCAATGCTCTTCAGAAAACAAGCCGCTGCGCAAGGTATAAGCCACTAACAGCCAAAGCCGCCACCGGGGGAAATTCTGTACATTCCACAGAACGAAAATCATTTACGCATTATTCAAATTAGGACATAGCTTTAATTGTGTACGACGGCGTATTAGCATTAAATTACTAGCGGCGTGGAACTGCCCGTCTTGCGTCAAAGTGTACCGCCAGTTTGTGGTTGAGGCTGGGCCCTCCCGTGAATACCCGAAGGATTCACCACAACACAGACGGACGCGACGTGATCAATCGTTGCTCATGAATGGGGCGGCACTCAAACCATCACAGCACCGCGCAGTCCTACAGCGCCTGCCGTGGGACTCGGTACCGCACACGTACCTCATATGTACCGCACACTGTGCTCGACGAACTGCGCTCACACACTCACACCTGGGAGGGCCTGCCTTGGGAATCTGTACCGCGCACGGTGGCTGTGCTGGACAAGCTGCTTTCACGGACTCACAGCTGGCCTGACCCTACACCAGCCTGTCCAATGTTGCAGTAATGCGTACGCCAAGTAAACGGAGAACGCAAATCTAATCGCTGATTGCATGATGCCCAACGCACAGGACGTCTTTTCATAAATGATCCTTGCTGTCGCAAAATGGTCGTAACTCATTTGGGACCAAGGTACTTTCTCCTGCAAATCTCAACAGTATGGACAGGATACACATCTATTGGCATGACTGCAATGCCAAGTAGGAATCCACGGAACAGGCAGCGACTTGTGCGCCCTGTGTTTGCTGCCTAGGAGCAGCAAGCTGCCAATGACTTGGTGCACCAGACGTCGACACACCGTGAAAGGGCCGCGCGGTGCGCAGTGGCCGCCTCACCTCGCCATGCTGAGCCCGTGGCGTCAGGTGCCGCACGCCCAGTCGAGCCTCGCGTGACGCTGCAAAACGCGAAGAATGGCGCACGTGAGGGGTGTGTTTAACATTGGCAGCCCGGTCACGGGTGTGCACAAACCCACAGGAGCACGGCACACAGACGGCTTGACTCGGCCGTTCCTCGAGTGGGCCTGACGAGTGTTTGCAAGCGGCGTTCAGCGCGCGCCGCCAACAGTTTGTTTTGCTGACTGGCCGGTGAGAGGACGGCGTTAGGCGCAGAGGGCCTGGTGACGCTGCGAGAGCATCGCGCCGCCGAAGACTGGAGACCATGATGACTGTGAGGCACAACAGACCGCCCCCAGGATACACGGCTTTGCTCCGCACGAGCGTCATGCCTTGTCCGCCCGGCGACCACGCGTGCCGCTCTGGGGAGCCATCAACACTGGCAAGATTTGGCATGCCTCGATAAACCGCCATTGATAAGAACACACGCCTACCATTGCTCTTCCGTGTCGTCGGGCTCCACGGCATTGTCATTGCTGTCCGCAGCCGTGACTGCTTCAACCGACGGTAAATGTTTCAGGCGTCTGCGATTATTCTTCGCATCCTACAGGGCTCTACGGTGCACTTTACCGTGTCCGCATCATTGCTTCGAAGGGTTGCCGCTGGCCCGGTGGTCGCGGCATGTCCAAGGATCACATTACGCCGCCGAGCCACCAGCTACAAATAGAGTTCCGCAACGCAAGGGTAACGGGAGCCTTCCCAGACCGTCGTTTTTGTGCGGACTGGCTGGAGGCGATTCTGTACTGGCCCGCTGTAAGACCGACGGATGAACGCAGCGTGCATGACGGAGAGTAAACACGCTGGGCCGGCGCCCCGCCACCGGACGACGTGCCTCGGCCGCAGCCCGGGAGACTGTGTGCACTGCCACCTGTCGACCACGAAACGAAGTACGCCTGGAACCCGTCGCGCAGCGCCGGCGGCGCCTGGGGCCGCGGCGCCGGCGAGTGGGTGCTCGGCGTCCGGCGGCGTCAGTACCGCGCGACGACGCGAGCAGGGGGGAGCGCTGCGGAGGGTCCGGGAGCCGCGCGGATGTGACGCGAGTGCGTGGATGAGAGTGCAATGGCGCCGCTGGTGGCGCTCCTGCTGGGACTGGCGGCGGCGACGGCTGCCGAGTCCGAGTGCAGCTGGGAGAGCAGTGTGGACGGCGGACAGATCCGTGTTCTCTGCCGACCGAGGACGATTGACGCCGCCTTCACTGTCGGTGGGCAGAGTGCGACACTCCCCGAGTCCAGTGTCACCTCGCTGGTGACCCGGTGTCGCAGTGCGGACGTCGAGAGCTACCTGAGCAACGGCACGTTCTCTGGTCTGACTGGCCTGGCGGAGCTGACGGTGGAACGGTGCAGGATCGCCACGCTGCCCGCGGTGCTGGACCAGCTGAGGCAGCTGCGCTCCCTCAGCCTGAGAACGTTCAACGACGACGTGCACATGGTGGTGGAGAGTGGTGCCCTGGGTGAGCTGCAGGCGCTCCAGTACCTGGACCTCAGCCACAACAGGCTGTGGGCACTGCCCGGCGCGCTGCTGTGTCCTCTGCAGAACCTGCGGAGCCTTAACCTGTCGCACAACAACATCCAGGACGCCGAGGGTCTGGGCCTGCACGGTGCCGGTGACCCGATCTCGCTGTCACGCCCGGTCGAATGTCGCCTGCCGGAGGTGACCTCACTTGACCTGGGTCACAATCGTGTGCCGACTGTGGGTGCCGCCGTGCTGGAGCCGTTCCCGGCGCTGCTGCGGCTGTCGCTACGCCAAAGCCGTGTGGAGCTGCTGGAGGACGGAGCGCTGGACAGCGTGCCCTCTCTCGGCCAGCTGGACCTGTCCGGCAACGAGCTGGTCAGCCTGCCGCACGACCTGTTCCTGAGGACGACCACCCTCTCCAAGATCCGACTAGCCAACAACAGCCTGTCGGCACTGACGCCCGGCCTGTTCTCCGGCCTCAGCCAGCTGCAGCTGCTGGACCTCTCCGGAAACCAGCTCACCTCCACGTGGATCAACTCTCAGACCTTTTCCGGGCTGGTGCGGCTCGTCGTGCTGGATGTGTCGGCCAACAGGCTGAACCAGATCGACCAGTCCATGTTCTCAGACCTCTACAGCCTGCAGATGCTGAAGCTCCAGGACAACCAAATTGATGCCATATCGCCCAACACATTTGCCACCCTCTCCAACCTCCATACTCTGATGCTGTCTCACAATAACTTGCACAGAATTGGTGCCCTGAGCTTCAATGGTCTGCACGTTCTGAGTTCGCTCTCATTAGACGGTAACAACATTGCTTTTATCCAGTTAGGATCGTTCAAGAACGCCAGTGGCCTGAGGGATCTGAAGCTAAATGGAAATCGTCTCACTCGCGTTCCCGAAGCATTCCAAGACCTTCACCTTCTAGAAACACTGGACGTGGGAGGCAATGGTATATCGATTATGAAAGGTGCACACTTTGCTGGGATGAATCGGCTGCGCAGTCTTCACATGCAGGGAAACATGCTCACCAACGTAACGAGCGAAATGTTGAGCAGCCTTCCGCAGCTGAAAGTCCTCAACCTAGCCAACAACCTGATCAGCGCAGTGCAGTTTGGAGCGTTTGAATCAAGCGCAGCCCTCGAAGCCATTCGGCTGGATGGGAACCAGCTGACGGACATCAGCGGCCTTTTCCGTGGTCTGTCACGTCTGCGTTGGCTGAACATGAGCGACAATCAAATCGACACGTTCGACTACGGCATGCTTCCAAATGGCATTCAATGGCTGGATCTGCATCAGAACAAGATTCGGCAGCTAGGAAACTATGACGACGTTGCAAGTCAGATGTCCATCACGACCCTGGACGCCAGTTTCAACAGGCTGACGTCACTGAGCGGCAAGAGCCTGCCGAACAGTGTCGAGCTGCTGGTGCTCAACGATAATCTGATCACGCACGTGGAGCAGTACACATTCTTTCTCATGACTAACCTGTCACGAGTCGACCTGTTTGCCAACCAAATCACGAAGCTGGAGCTGAATGCTCTGAGGCTGAACATGCTGAACGGCACGAAGGCCGTGACCGAGTTTTATATTGGCGGGAATCCGTTCATCTGCGACTGCGCCATGGAATGGCTGCAGAGGTACAACCAAATTAACATAATGCAGCACTATCCCCATATCATGGACCTCGAAAGCATTTACTGCAGGCTGACTTACAACAGAGAACGTGCCTTCGTTCCATTGGTGGACGCCGATACATCTATGTACCTCTGTCCCTATCAAACGCATTGCTTCACAACCTGTCACTGCTGTGAGTTTGATGCCTGCGACTGTGAGATGACGTGTCCAAACAAGTGTGACTGTTACCACGACCAATCGTGGTCCTCAAACATCATCGACTGCACGAATAACGGGTTTGAAGAGATTCCAGACCGCCTGCCAATGGATGCTACGGAAGTGTATTTGGACGGGAACGTTTTCCGCAATCTCTCCAGCTTGACGTTTCTGGGCCGCAAGAACATGCGGGTGCTCTACCTGAACGGTTCCCAGATAGAGGCTCTTCACACCGAGACTTTTGCTGGGCTCCCGAGCCTTACCGTCCTTCACCTGGAGTCCAACATCATCACTGAACTCCACGGCCAGGAGTTCGTCGGTCTGAACCACCTCCGAGAGCTTCACCTGCAGGACAACCGGCTTCGTCGGGTGGCGCGCAACACGTTCGCACCGCTACACCAGTTGGAGATGTTGCGTCTGGACGGCAATCAGCTGGCCACGTTCTCTGCATGGGAGCTGCAGCGGAACCCCTACCTGGTTGAGATTGGACTTGCCGGCAACCCCTGGAACTGCGAATGTGACTTTCTCACTCCTTTTCGAAGTTGGCTGACTGCCAACGTGCGAAAGGTGAGCGACGCCAGTTCGATGGTCTGCCACTTTGACGCCAGTGATGACGGCGAGGTGACGATTCACGGCTCCAACGAGTCCTGTATCGCGCTTCACTCCAAGAGCATGGCCCGGGCCGCAGCGCTGAGCTACGTGCCTCTGCTGATCAGTTCGTTGGTAGTCATCGTCCTGTTCATCTGCCTGCTGATCATCATCTGGGTGTACAGGACCGAGCTGCGCGTATGGATTCACTCGCGCTGTGGCGTGCGCGTCTGCTACCGCTCGGCGCTGGACGAGCCGCACGAGCGGCTGTTCGACGCCTTCGTCAGCTACAGCGACCGGGACCGGTCGTTCGTGCACCACGTGCTGGTGCCCAAGCTGGAGCGCGGCGAGCCGCCGTACCGGCTGGCGCTGCACGACCGCGACTTCCCGCACAGCGCCTACCTAGCCGACACGATCGTCGAGGCGGTCGAGTCGAGTCGCCGGACAATCATGGTGCTCTCGAAAAACTTCGTGGAGAACGAGTGGTGCCGCTTCCAGTTCAAGTCGGCGCACCACGAGGTGCTCAAGGACCGCCAGAAGCGGTTGATAGTGGTGATGCTAGGAGACGTGACGCACCGGGAGCTGGACCCCGACTTGCGTCTGTACATAAAAACAAACACGTGCATCAGTTGGGAGGACAAAATGTTCTGGGAAAAGCTCCGCTTCGCGATGCCAGACGTGAAGAACAACCTTCGAGTGCTGAACTCGGTCTCTCACTACTCGGAGATCGACGAGAGCAAATACTACCGGCGGAGGCCGGACACAATGGAAACCCTCTGGGGTTGAGGTGAGTGAATAGATTGTCGTCCCCCTTTTTCATTGCTACCGCTGCTCCCTGTGCTCTCACAGACGTGAGGGTGATGACTGTTTCCCAAGACAAAATGCATAGCGAAGCTCGTAAATGATTGGATTGCTTCGGTGGAGCGGCAGGGAAAAGTTGCAGATGGTAAACACGATGGGGCTGACCCGTTCTTTGTCTCCTCTCTCCCTCTCCCCAGTCACCGTCCCTAGTCAAACGGCATCAGCGAATGGGCCGCTTTTTATATACTTAGGCCGGTGAATGATCGTACGCATGCTGATTCAATTTTATCGTGGGCAGTTGCAGTAAAAATAAGCTTTACCACGACCATCTTCTTACTAAGTACAGTTTTACTTTCCTACTCTTGCCGTGTCTAATTAAATTAGCTCAGAACGGTTTTCTCAAAGGTTAAACAACGGCGCGTCACGAAATGGAGCAGCCTATGTTTAAAAGCTAATGGCGGAGAGTGATGTTGCAACGTAACAAGCGTTAAGTAAATTTACATACATACACATGTGTATGTGGGTGTGTATGTACATTTACATGCATACGTTAGGTAAATAGAAATGTACACACTCATACACACACACGCATACGCACACACATATATATATGCACACATATCATATATATATATATATATATATATATATATATATATATATATTGATTACCAAAGAACACAGGTAGGTATACTGTCAAAATACACGATATCATCTGTGCATTAGAGCAGCGCGACAGCGACAGTTTATACAATCATAACCAGGCAATTCATTGCTATTACCTCTTACATCTCAGTGCACCAATATCTGTCCCACTCCAGCCTCCACTGATGAGGGTTTCACCCAGCTAAGATTTCCTTACCGTCGTAGTCGTATCGGCAACAGCCCGCCAATAAATGGACGAGTGTGGGCCGCAGGCCGCGGCCTACGCTCCAGCTATACATGTGCCGATGATTTCCCACGGCCTACGTTCCAGTTCTGCATGTGCCGATGGTTCCCCATTGTTCACTTTATACACCAGAGATGGAGACCATGATTTTTATTCGCTTGCTAATTTTAGAAGAACACCTTTGTCTCTTTACTGCGATTTATGCGCTTATTGTTTCGGGAGATGAACTGAGCCCTGAAGACGGGTTGTGCGTGGTCTTTGACTTCTTGATGACTTGAATCAATCGTCTCTTAATGCATACCACCTTAGCCGCTACAACCGCCTGGTAACGTATTGTTTGCAAAATATCGAAAAACAGTGTCATAAATTTATCCTGGAATGCAATTTTGCGGCTGGTGCTCATAACCGTCACCACGCTGCGAATGAAAAGTGGTGGGGACAAAGGCTCGCCGATGATAAAATGCCAAAAACGAACGCTCCCACCGTTCCAAGATTGCGCAAAATGCGCGATAAATTTGAAACGTGAGCGGCAGGGAGATTTCTATATGATCTAATCGACTCGAGTCAGCGCATTTCACACGTCCCTATTGACCACGGCCATTACGTGGGGGGCTCACCAGCCCGACCGCTCCAGTCGGGCTAGTGATCAGTGTTGTGGATCGTTGGTTTTGCGCTCGTGTGCACCGTGTTTTGATTTGACTCCAAAGCTTAGCATGCCGTTCTAAAATGGCGAACGTTTAAACGGTCCGGCCAATATCAGCATGAGTCAGTGGGGAATGGTTGCAATCTACGTCCAATCTTTCCAACCGCCTTGTGGTTTTTCAATTGCAGCGCATTGTCGTTTAGAAGCCAAATCGGTTTCAATTTCGGACAATGATATGGTCATCAATTTGACAAAATGATTCATGCTAGCCGGCTTCGCAGCGCCTATAACTCATAGCATTCATCTGTTGGCCCATCAGGCGATTCGTCTTCATTTGGCGCCACTCAGTTGCGGCCAGATGAGGGGAAGACTAGACCAGACCCCGTCGTTTGTCCGAACATTGCCTCCAATCAGGATTTCTGAATCGGATCGTAAGATAGACGTATGGGAGGCGGCAGGCGCCCAGCTATCGTCTGTCTGCGATGGAGACAGATATATCAGCTCGCCCACTCGGTAATAAATGGAGACGATCGGAGAGACCCGCAAACTTCCTACAGAATGCACACCACGAATTTGCGTTGGTCTGTGTGGTCCCTTGAGGAAACGCTGCAATGCGTTATTTGTGCCCAGACGTGGCCTCCAGCACGCAGTTCAACATCGTAATGTACAGCTGCAGGAGAGATGTGCTTGCCGCGCCGCATTGACACAGTCGTCGCCGCATCAGCAAACGAACAATCATTCACAAGTATCATGCCACGAAAAAAGCCTTACCCTGTTCCCATGCCCGCCTGCCTCACCCTCATGTATCCTTTCGACCGTGCCTACCTGTGTGTCCAGTCGTACCAATAGGGACGGTGTCTGGGCATGCATGCACAAAAGTGGGGGTGCGTTCAGATTTTCGTAATATTTACCCTTCAAACCTTTTTTCTTCTTACGCCTTACGAGGGAAAGCCGCAGAAGCTCTCCGAATGCCTTCAAACCTAAGCAAGCTAGAGCCAAAGCGAAACGGTTTTGGAAGCTCTCGTCAAACTGCATAAGATAGGTGTGACTGGGAAGTAGTGAATGTGACCCTTGACAGGTCATATGGGTGAAGTACGTACGAAGCACGATCTTGGTCCCTTTTATTATGCCAAGAACTGCAAAAGACGGAGGTGAATGGCTCTTGGAGGACTTAACAAATGGGTAAAAGTGAACATGGACACGTGACCTGCGATGTCATGTCTGGTCATAGGGGTGGAGGTAATTATTGCGCTGACCCGTCAAGCTGTATAAAGAGCTAGGCAAGCGACATTCATGAAAAGGACAGCGTTAGAAAGTCCTTCCAAGGCTGTAAGGCATGTGTCATTAAGGTATGGGTTATATGGTCTTCAAGCGGTCAAACTTCGTCACAAAAGTTCAATTACATCTAGCTTTACCTTGGATGACCTTTAAAAATATAGATATGGAAAACAGGTCTAGAAAATCCCTTTGAAGGAGCGCATTCCCTGCGGGTAATGGGTGTTATGTGTCAGATCTGACCATACATCACCGACATAACCTAAAGAATAGGCCATAAATCATGAAACGTGGGAGATAAGAATTTTAGATTTTCCAAGTCGTGCAAAACTAACCAAAATTCGGGCGCTCACAATTTCGGCACCGTGCTCAAAACCGTTCCACAAGTTGTTCCGGAAAACTTGTGTGTTTTCTAAGCCCCCTCGTATGGCAAGGGCTGGGGATAGGAGCCGGAGTCCGTGACAGTTTGCTGTACATCTTATCTAAATGCCCTGATATCGCTCATGCACAATGCTCTTTGAAGACGCGCCATGCCAGGACTCCCAGTCTGCCACCAGGTTTCTTCTTCCTTCGAGGAGCTCTGTGAGCCGCACTAACCGGTCCCGCCTGCGCCCTCAGGTTGCGGCCCAGCTGCTGTCAGTGGAGAAGAAGGCTGTGATAAGTCAGCGAGGTCCTGGCCAGGCCGTCTCTGCACCGGCCGGCCAGGTGTCTGCCAGCGTCGTCTGCCAGCCTACTGACGCTGCGAGCTGGAGACGGCTGTCAATGAGAGCTCGCCGCCCTCCGTCTGGACCACCCGGGGGCCTGAGGTCGTAGGGCTCCTTCGTGGCAGACCATGACCGGCAACAGACCGGTCTGATATAGCGGGGGCCTGCGGCGGCAGCTGACCTACTGGGGAGAGGACTTTCAGGGGCCTGAGCGCGGCTAAACGAGCTCGTTCCATCTGCGTCGTCTAGCAGTTTTGGATAAACGTCATCGAAGAGAGATCATGAATGAAAGCAACGGATTTTGCAGAATGTGTGCTCCTGGCGCTTCGGCTCTAGCCTCCGCCATTGTCTTGTGGCAAGCTGACTGATCCCGGAGACCTATATGATACGGCGTCCATTATGTTCATGTGGGGAAAGCAGGAAATCCTGCTCGCCATCGATAGCCAGGCCGCGAAAAGTTGGTCATGGTCTGTTTTTCTAGTCACCAGCTCGGTCCAGGGACGCAAGTGGTGTACAGTCTGTGATATGTGTGGAAATAAATGGCATGCAAAGAGTCGGCCAAGTGTTCAGAGAGTTGGCGACGTCCTCAGAGCTTCTTCATTGCGAGGGGACGATGAGATGTGTCAGCTGCATTGCTTGACTATGCGCGTCTCGGATTTAAAGCGGTTCATGACAGGCTTTAGCCCAATGCGGTGCACCAATGTGCCCATACATGCAGCCTGGCTCGTCAATAACCACATGTGGATTTCCCGGGAAACCAGGCTACACATGGTGAACACCGAGATCCACTGTTACCTTGACCAGTTAAAGTTTGGACAGATTCGTTTGCAGAGTGCCCTTCGACTCTAGTTCATCAGAGCCGACTCTGGCTATGAGTCACAGTAGGTAGAGATTAAGTTTGAACTTTGGCTTTCTGAGCATAAAGAAACGTGCGGAAGCTTTGACTCTGACTCAAGAGTATCTTGAGTCCTCGCCCTCGCCCTCGCCAGGTGAAGGGCTCAGTAGCCCGCCCCCTTCCCATAAACACAACCAAAAGCTTTGTATCTAATAAACTTTGGATGGATTTTGCACGTGGTAGTGCAATTTTGGTAAGATGAAATTTGATGGAATCAAATTTGAATTGAATCAATTAGCTTAAAATAGTATAAAACATTTAACTGATGAAGCATTAATGGATTGCACAATGTGACATGTTAAAGCAATGGTACTAAATAAACGATTACATTTAATCAGCGATAATATTTAATTTGATTAAGTAACCTGGGCTCTGTTTTTGGATTAGTTATCATTTCCACACATTATGAAAGCAAGGAAGGACAAGTTTCTGACCCCCACGGTTGATGATCGCAAGGTCATATTGAAAACATTTTGTTCAACACTACGAAGCAGCTTATTTCTGACGGGAAATGCACTCCAAAATAGGTTTGCTACGCTTTTTTCATATCTCTATCACTTTGATGTACTTTACCATCGTTCTGGTCATTTTTAAGGTCAGGTCATTCATGATCAAGCCAGGCCAAACCTTGACCTTCTTGACCAGATTTTTGCTTTGAAGATCAAGCTATTCAAATCTTAAAGGCACATATAACACAACTTTGAAAAGCCCCTCTAACAATGTTTCCTTCATTAATGTGACTCGTTCAGCTCTTGATGTAGCCATGTGGGACAATGGAACAATAGTCTATATGTCTGACCAGACAAAATGTATTACCCGTGACACGTATTATGTTCATTCACGTGATCCGATAGATATTTTTAAGACCTATTTACTGCCGTCTTCCACATCGCCATAACATGTTTGATGATTGAGATGTCGGGAGGAGTCTAAGTAATACTACTTTGACCCTTGTGGCCTGATTTGACCTGTTCAAGACCACAGTCAACATATCCAATGTCGGGTTGTCCGTGGCTCTAACTTCACTGCATTCTGAGATTATACTTTGTCCTTGTCCTCTGAGCCCCCCACGAATACCCCCCCCCCCCCCTACTCCCTCCCATAAGGTGGAAGTGAAAAACTCGGGTAGGGCGAGGGTTAAACAATTTGAGAACGGACGCCTGGGGTTTGACTCCACCTATCTATAGTTATGCATTGACTGCGTAAATCACTTTCTCAGCGCGTAACTTGAAGCAATTGCATACAAGGAACCAACACGCAGGATCCTTGTATCACCATGGCATGCATGTATGCACATATGGTGTATGCTTCAAAAGCAAATTGTTGTTTGATAGTGAGTAGTGAGAACATTATCTGTGCAACTAACAGCCTCAGACAATCCTGAGTTATTCTTACTGCCCAACGAACCTAACCATATGCAAATACCTCGGCTGATCACTTTAGGCTGTTAAGAAATTCTAGTGTATGAAATGTATGTACGCATTAGATAATTATATATATATATATATATATATATATATATATATATGTGTGTGTACATATATATATATATAGATATATAGATATATAGATATATAGATATATGTAAGCAAGCATCATTTCCTATTTACGCAGACAATAGACTCAACTCCAACTCCACCCAGCTTGGGCCGACTCTGGAATCGACTCTGACTCAAAGTCGGAGTCAGGCGCAAGTCTTCCCTCGCATACCAGGTAGCCAACACGTGGGCCGGCCGGTCCGTGACCAGGTGATGTTGACTTCCCTGCCTTGCCGGCCCGCCCATATGTAACGCACGCGCCAGGACGGACGCCTGCACCCACAACATTCCGCGTGCGACCGAGTCTGTTCGACACGGAAAAGGCCATTTGCCTGGACAGGCGGGTGAAAAATATCTCCTTTGGGCACAACTCGCAACGTTTCGAGAGGACGTGGCCGAAGACAAATGATACCGCAGTGGCTTGGCCTGGCATTCTGTATACATATGTGCTATAGGCGAAATGACCATAGCAAATCGGACGGAAGCACACAACACGGTCTTTCAGGTCGTTCGGGCGAGCTTCCGTCAAGTTATCAACCTTACTCCGGGTAGGGGGTCGGGCACCCCCCCCCCCGCCCCTTTCTTCATGTACCGGGCCTACTACACCGATCGTAAAAATCCAAATGACGTTCAGTTCCCCTCAACGAAGTTTACATTGGCTGAAATAAAACAGCAACTTGTCATCTGCTTGTCTGATGTAACAAACTCACTGCACTGGTATCACCTCTTGAAGTGAATTATCTGGGTCAATCGTGACTTAAAAAAGCAAAGACCTGCTCATTCTCAACGCTTAATTCATATCGTTTCTGTGACGTCATACTGTTCATCCAGGTCCGTTCGGTAAAGTGTGCTCTGTTCTATAACGCTGTCCGTAGAAGTGCTATCCCCTGTATAGTCCCACAGGGGGGGGGGGGGGGAGGGGCGGGGTGGAGGCGGATCCGTGTCCAGCTCCCCGAGTGGAGCACAGCGATGAACACCGCCGAGAACACCGCTGAGATGGATGCCTTCAAGAGACGTCTCTAGATCAACACAGTGGAGCGACCCAAGACACCGACCGCGACTTTTTCATGCCCTCGCGACACTTGATTGCTACCTGGGATTGTTTTTCAGCGGCGCAGAGTGGCGTCCAGCGCCGGCTCCCGTTCGTTGTGGAGACCCGGGGGCTCAGGCGGCCATCAGGCGGGCGCAAAACGACCGTAAATGTCCGAGTGCCGAACTAAACCCGAACAATCATCGGCCGAGGCGCGCCCGTATGGCCCACGCTGCGGAGGAACAGCGAGCCGGCATCAGCGCCACCCGGGCTGGACTGGGACAGCAGCACATGCCAGATGGACGATGGTTTAGCTTGCGCGGATGAGGAATGTGATGCGACACAGGAGTGCAGAGTCATGGTGGTTTCTGTTGACGCTGAGACTGTTGGCGGTTACTGTCGACAGGCTTATTTCTTAGTACAGGTTGTTTTCACTCTTGCTACACTCACGCGTGTCTGCGTCAAACTGAACATGCGCACTGGGCAGCATGCATTCGATGTCGCCAGGGTGGAGATCCGTGATACACTGCCCTGAGTACACTGATCCACCCATTTTTTCACATGTGCGAAAACCGAGGCGCTTGTGACTACTGAGACAGCGCCACTTCCATAGACAACTACCTGGGGAATGCCCTTCACGCGTAACCGAGAAGCGCATCGTACCCGCCGGCTGCCTCGCCAGCACCGTCTGACCGGCGCGGTGCAGGCCCCTGACGCTCACCGCAGGCGGGCGGAGCGCGGCGGTGAGCTGCCGCCCGACAGCTGGCGACCGGCAGCCGGCCGAGCTGCAGCTGCAGCCGGCCAAGCAGCGTCCGCAGCCGGTGCCACGTCCTGCATGCTGAGACGCCACAGCGGCCGCGGCGCCAGCCAGCTGCGCTGATGGCGGCTGACGGGGATCCGGCGGTGCATGCCAGCCGGCGGGCAGCGCGGGGACCTGTCTGTGGCGACGCTGAGAGAGAGAGAGAGAGAGAGAGAGAGAGAAGATAGAGAGAGGAGAGAGAGAGAGAGAGAGAGAGAGAGAGAGAGAGAGAGAGAGAGAGAGAGAGAGACAGAAGACAGACAGACAGACAGACAGACAGACAGACAGACAGACAGACAGACAGACAGACAGACAGACAGACAGACAGACAGACAGACAGACAGACAGACAGACAGACAGACAGACAGACAGACAGACAGACAGACAGACACAGACAGACAGACAGACAGACAGACACAGACAGACAGACAGACAGCAGACAGACAGACAGACAGACAGACAGACAGACAGACAGACAACAGACAGACAGACAGACAGACAGACAGACAGACAGACAGACAGACGACAGACAGACAGACAGACAGACAGACAGACAGACAGACAGACAACGACAGACAGACAGACAGACAGACAGACAGAAGACACAGACAGACAAGACAGACAGACAGACAGACACAGACAGACAGACAGACAACAGACAGACAGACAGACAGACAGACAGACAGACAGACAGACAGACAGACAGACGACAGACAGACAGACAGACAGACAGACAGACATACAGAACAGACAGACAGACAGACAGACGGACAGACAGCCGACAGACCAGACAGACAGACAGACAGCATACAGACAGACAGACAGACAGACAGACAGACAGACAGACAGACAGACAGACAGACAGACAGACAGACAGACAGACAGACAGACAGACAGACAGACAGACAGACAGACAGACAGACAGACAGACAGACAGACAGACAGACAGACAGAGGGCGAGGGGACCCAGCGCTCGGCGGGCAGAGCGGGGACCTGTCAGTGGCGACGCTGGGAGAGAGAGAGGACGAGGGGACCCCGCTCGGCGGGCAGCGCGGGGACCTGTCAGCCGGGGACGCTGGGAGCGAGAGAGAGGGAGAGAAGGAGAGGGCGAGGGGGCCCAGCACTCTGCGGCCGGACCGGTTATTCGACGTGGAAAGATGACGCGATGTTTTGCAATGCTTCGGGAAAGGACGTCAAGTTTCGTTGCATTTAATGGCTCTGTGCGTTTGTCAACGCTGATGTACGGATGGCAACAACATGGTCCATTGGGAGGGCTTTTAATAATAACATCA